GAAGCCGCCAGCCTCTGCCTGCCTTCCTCCCTCCCTCCCTCCCTCCCTCCCTCCTCTCGCGCCGCCCACGCTCTCCCGCCTGACGCCTCCGCCCCTCCCCGCCAGTCCGCCAGATCTTCTCAAACTGGCGGGTCGGCGACCCCACGAAAGAGAAGCCCGACGTGTGGCGGGTCCCGGCCGGCTGCAAAGTCCTGGCCGAGGCGTGCAAGGAGTTTGTCGGGTCGACCGAGGCCGCATTCTGACGGCGCGCGCGTCGCCATCCATTCTCCTCGCCACAAGCCTAGCTAGGGTGCGCTCGAGCGGCGCCCCCTCTGCTGGCCGCCAAGCCGCCCTAGCTGCGGCCTCTCCCGACTCTCTCTCCCTGGGTGTGTCCTCCACCCCGCTGCCGGCACGCGCGGCAGAGTGGCAACGACCACAACGCGTGCTACGTGGCAGCTGCACCGCGCGACGGACGAGTTCTTTGCGCGGCGTCCCTGCCCCCCAGTGATAGCTTGAATACTGGATACAGAAAACAGGCGACCCACACGAACCGAAACGCGAAAATTTCACCGTTTCCAGATACGTTCTTCACGCGCGCCCCAGAGCGAGTGACGGATAAAGTCGTGTGAAAGAGCTGTGAAAGCGAAAGTATCGAAATTAATTGCCCGCAGGCGAAGAAAATTTTCAGGGTTTTTGTCCCCTACGCCGAAGAAATCGAAGATTTCGGCGGGCGCCCGACGCGGTATGGATGGAGCACGCGCGCTGCCCGGCATGCCTGCAGCATCCAAACGAGACGCACGGCGTCGCTCAGCCGTGTCCACGCGGCTTCGCTCCTGTCCTAACCGGCGCCATCTGGGCGGCTGCTGCGGAGCTGCTGCCGGCGGTGCGGCAACTGGCCGACAGATACAACGCTCAGGGCACCCGCCGGCGATTCACTGGAAAGGAACGAAGGCGCCGCTGTCGGCGATTCACCGCCGTTCGTTCCCGTCTCTCAAGCTGGCTACACCGTCCATGGACGAGGGAGACGTCGCCTCCTCTTTCGTCCCGGGCACTGTTCGCGCCGGAAGGCACCGTACACTGCGAAGTACATTAACCTTCATCCCTCCTACCGCCGGCCGGGAGTGCAGCCTTCGCCATCGCTGAGTGAGATTATCCTCGACTTTGGCACCTGCGAAGTAATGAACAACATGCAGTACGTCATATGCAATGGCGCTATGACAGCCCTGCGATGGGCGTCCTCGACGCAGACGAGGCGGAGCTCATCTGCACGGCGCAGATCGCCGACTTTCTCTCTCTCCCTGCGCGAGTGGTTGCGCCACCGTGGATGAGGCATATGGGCTGGGCAGGGGAGTTGGTAGAGGAGGTCGACTGAGGGCGCGAGGCCGCCAATCGTCACAGTCTGCTGCTGACTGTCGGTCGCTGACTGGTTGCGCATTGCGCTGGCCGCGCAGCGGCCTTTAGAAAATTTTGGCCGCAGGCCTAGGTTTTGAAAGATCAAGAGAATAAGCGCCGGTGAGGCTTTGAGAAGCTGCCGTTTGCGGCTTCCTAAGTCAACTTTTCGAGAGGAACGTTTTGGCTAAGCTAGAACTTCTCCAAAATCGCGCGATCATCGAGTTTTGAGTCAATAATTATGAAAGGAAAGGGAGAGGGAGAGTTCTAGCTTAGCCAATCGATTCAGCGTGCTCTGAAACGCCCAAAACCGTCGAGTTTTTCGCCGTGGTCCAAATAGAGAGCTTAATATTTTGATTTTCTTGGCCACGGCCACGATTACCCGTCACTCGCTCCCCAGCGCCCCAACCCCCATAGCCACAGTCAAGACATCACGGCGGAGTGGGTGGAGCTGGAGGAGGATCTCCCTTGCCGGCCACTGCCGATCCGCGTAGCATGTCGGCGTACTCGCGCAGCACGTCCCGCACCCGCCCCTGCTCTGCAGCCCTCTTCTGCTCCCTGATCGCCGCGTTGCGCTTCACGCCCTCGATCCGGCGCGCGTGCATTGAGATGATCTGCTGCTGCTTCTTGAGCGCGCGCTTTCGCTGCCGCGAGGACGAGTCCTCGGCCCCGGGTACGATGCCTGCAGCGACCGGTGCGGCGAGCGCGGGAAGGACTGGCTGCCACCATCTCCGCGACCAGTCTTTGATGGTGCCCTTTCCCCAGGACGGCCCGTTCCGGGTATACTGCATGTTCTTCGACCGCTTCTTCATCGTGCGCAGCGCGCCGTGGAGCTGCCCAAAGGCGCTTGAGGCGGAGGCCGCCACGCCGCGGAGAGCGGGCAGCGCTAGCATTGAGTGAGCTGAATGAGTGTAGAGCTGAACGCGCGTCGGAGTGCGACCGAAGAGAAAAAAAACCGGTTTTGCTTTTCATTTGGTGGAACAAGAAAATGTACGTAAGAGCTACATAACTAAAAAAAGAAAAAGCCGCGCGCTCTCGCGCTGGCTCTCCCCGCCCGCCTCTGCTAACCGCTACCGCAGCCCTCCGCTCCGCTGCTGCGGAGACGCGCAGCGCTGGCGGCTGGCTGAATGATCTCGCTCACCGACATCCTCGTGTCTGGGCTGCTCCTGTGCAATGCCGCCGCGGTGCTCAACGAGGAGCGCTTTCTCGTCCGAATCGGCTGGGGCTATGAGCAGAGCATGCAGGGACCCACAGGGATGAAGAAGCAGATAATAACGTTGCTGCACGCAGCACGCGTGCTCCTCACCATCCCGCTCATGGGTCTCAACCTCGTCGTCATCGTTCTCAAGCTCCTAATGGGCTGACGCTCGCGTGCCTCGCTCCCTCGCGGTGTGTGTCTGTGTCGAAAATCGTACCGAGTCAGGGATGCCGCACATCTTTAAAAGCTCGCCGTTATCACAGCACCGCGCTCGCGCGCCGCGTGCACTCCTATTTACTCGACTCGCGTGCTCTCTCTCTTACTCGACCCACGCTTGCGGTGCGTGCTCCGGAGTCGACCTCATCCGAATGCGGGTGTGCAGCCGCTCCTTGCCCCGGTACGGCGCCGTGCTCGTCGCGGTGTGGATGACGAGGCGGTTGGACCAGGCGACCAAATCTCCCACCCGCCAGCGGTGCTTGAGCAGCAGGCCCTCCTCCAGCCCCGGCGCCCACGCCGCGGCGACGTACGCGTTCGCCTCGTCGAAGCCGAGCGTGCGGCCGCGCGAGCGGAGGGCGGCGACGTGGTACGAGCCGACGAGGGCTCGCTTCCCGCTCACCTGCGGGCGGGGGCAAGGGGCAGGCGAGTGCGTGACGGGGATGCGCGGTGCGAGGGGGGCGGGTCAGGAGGGCCAGCATGCTTTCCGCGCCTTTTCTCTGCAGACGAGCGGCACGGAGGTGCCTGTGCTCCACGGGGCGGGAGGGGCGGGAGGTAGGTGGAGCGGCGAGGCGTCCGTGACAGGGGAGGTGGTGGCCCCACCCTCTGCCAGGTTGACGTCCCAGCTCTCGTCCGTATCGCCCTTTGAGCCGCTCGCCCACCGCAGGGACGTCCCTTCGCGGGCAACCTCGTACTGCGCAAAGAGGCGGTACTGCACTCTCACCTGCACGGCGCGAGGGGAGGGAGGAGACCTGGAGGGCGGCAGCAGCTCTCTTCTCTCTCCCTCGGCCGCATCTCGGCCGCATCTCTGCGGCACCCCGGCCGCATCTCGGCCGCATCTCGCCTTATCTCGGCTGCATCTCGGACGCATCTCGCCTTATCCCGGCCGCATCTCGGACGCATCTCGCCTTATCTCGGCTGCATCTCGGACGCATCTCGCCTTATCTCGGCTGCATCTCGGACGCATCTCGCCTTATCTCGGCTGCATCTCGGACGCATCTCGACTTCATCTCGGCGCGTCTCGCCTCGTCTGGCGGAGGGTCGAGGGAGGGTGGAAGCAGCTCCGCCGCCTTGACGCTGCAGGCAAAGAGCGTCTCGCCGCCCTCCTGCGAGAGAGGGAGGCCCCGCGCCTCAGCGGCGCGGCCCGAGTTCCGAGCAAGGGGCGAGAGGGACCGGCCGGCTCGCCTCGGGCGTCACGAGGCACCTCATCGTCGTCAGGTCGGGCGGAGGGTCGGTGTCGGCGAGGCCGTCGCAGTGCCACGCGCGCTGGTCAGGGTGCCAGCCGTTGTAGACGCCGGGCGAGGAGGCGGTCAGCCCGTGAAAATCGCGCACATTGTAGCTCCCGACGAGGGCGATCGACGGGTGCGCCGGCAGCCGGTGCTGCGTCCCGGCACCGCCAGTGTAGCTCTGATTTGCGTCGTCGGCCTGGTGCGTGAAGAGGCTGGCGAAGCGCATCTCGTCGTCGGGCGTGAGGTGCTGCTGGCCGCGGAAGAGGAGCAGCCCATGCTCGTACAGCGCGGCGAGAAGCTCCTCGGCTGGAAGCTCCGGCGCGGCAAGGTCGACGCCGCTCACCTCGCGCCCAAAGTGGTATGGCCCGCCCTTTATGGGAGAGAAGGCTGGCGAGGCGCACTTTGTTGCCAGGCGGCGCACGCCGCGTAAGACTTGACGGCGCATGAATGGCAACGAGGCTGGGAGCCAGCCGTGCTGAGCTGAGCCGTGAGCGCGGAGCTGGCTTTCTTGTTCCGCAAGTCTTCTTTGTTCTGTCCGTCTGAAAGGCACACTCTGCGCTCATGCACGTCGCCTGATCTGTTTGGCGCCACGCGGACCCACAAGTCTCCGCAAATTCCACACCGCGAAACGCGACACGCGCCCCTTGTCTCACCCAAACATGCCGCTCTCTTGCCGCGCGCCCACAGCCGCCCGCGCCGTCGGCTCCACCACGCCCGTGGTCGCGCATGCCGCGCTGGCGCGCCTGCTGCTGGCGAGCCCGCTGTGCCTCGCCCTCGACACGCGCAGCGCGTCGCCCGTCGCCTCTGCTCGCGCCTGCAGCGCGGCGCAGTCCCGCGCCAAGCTGTCGAGCTCGGCGAGCGTGCGCTCCAGCGCCTCGTCCAGCGCCTCGTTCTCGGAGCGCAGCTCCCTCGCCCGCGCCTCGGCCGCCTCCGCCCTCTCTGTCGCGGCCGTGCACGCCCCCGCCGCCTCGGCCGCCTCTGCGAGCGCCGCGTCTTTGCCGGCCGCCGCCGCCGCCGCAGCGTCTTCCGCGGCGCTGGCGCGGCACTCGGCGGCGGAGCAGGCCGTCTTGGCCGCCTCCGCCTCTGCCTCCGCCTCCGCCACCGCAGACTCCTTGTCGCGCTGCGCCAACGTCGCCGCCTCCTCTGCCGTCTCGGCGCGCTCGTCCGCCTTGGTGGCTCGGGCGGCGGCCGCGTCGGACTGCTGCAGCGCCGACTTCTTCTCGCGGATGGCAGTCTCCTTCTCGAGGAGCGCCGCCTACGGCCGAGCGTTGCGCGCGTCGCGCGCGTATCGCAACACCCCTCTCCCCCTCTCTAGCGACGGCCGCGCCTCGGCCGCCGCCTCGGCTTTCTTTGCTCTCGCCGCCTCCGTCTTTGCGCGGCCGGTCGCCGCATCCCGCGCCTCGAGGGCCGCCGCCAGCCCCGCCTCCGCCTCCTCCGCCCTCACCTGCACCGTCGCCAGCTTGTCCGTCGCGGCGCCAAGCTCCTCGACGGCGGCTCGCGTCTCCGCCTGCGCCCGCTCCACCACCGCCTCCGTGTCGGCCCGCGCCTTGGCCGCCGCCTCGGCCTCGAGCTGGGCGGTCGCCCTCGCCTCCTCGGCCGCTTTCGCCTCCGCCGCGGCGACAGCCTCCGCCTCGGCCGCCGCCACCGCCTTCTCCGCGGCCTCCTGCTCAGCCTTGCTCAGCTTCTCGGCCTGCGCCTGCGGGAGAGGCGTGGCCGCGTCACTTTGAAGTGTCCCACCTCTCGCCACTCCCCTCCCTCTCGCAGCCGGCGCCTCGAGCTCCCGCTGGGTCCTCGCCAGCTTATCCTGCGCGCCCTCGAGCGCATCGTCCAGCTCGCCCACCCGGCTCGCCGCGAACTTGATCTGCTCCTGCAGCTCCGACTCCTTCTCCTCCAGCATGGCCTCCTTCTCGCCGAGCTGCTTCGTCGCGCGCGCCGTCGCCGCTTCCGCCTTGGCCGCGCGCTTCGCCTCCGCCTCCTTCTCGGCCCGCGCGTCGGCTGCGTTCTGAGCCTCCGCCTCGGCCGCCGCGCTCGCCTGGGCGGCGAGCGCCGCCGCCTCGGCCGCCCTCTTCTCTGCGCGTGAGGCCGCCTGGGCCTGGGCCAGCGCCTTTGCCTCCGCCTTGGAGGCCGCGGCCGCCGCGTCGAGGGCCGCAGCCTCGGCGTTGGCCGCCCTCGACGAGGCCTGGGTCCGAGTCTCGACGGCCTGCTGGGCGTCCGTCTTTGCTCGACGCAGCTGCAGGAGCTCCCGCTCCGCCGCCTCCTTGCTCGCGACCGCCATGTCGAGCGCCGACTCCGCCGTAGCAGCGCGCCTCGACGCCGCTTCCGCGCGCGTATTGGCGGCCGAAACCTTGGCCTGCACGCGCTTCCGTCCGACCGCGAGCGACTCGACGGTGCCATCGAGGACCGAGGAGAGGGTCGTCCCGGCCGTCCAAGACCACGAGTCGCCGCCACGACCCCATCGATCCAGCCGCTCCTGGGCCTCGGTGACGGACGCCTGCATGCGCCCCCACTCCTCGAACTCGTCGTCCTCGCCCGGCTGTCCGGGGGTGCGTCCAGCCCGGCGCTCGCGCATGACGGCGGGCGAGGAGCGCCGAGAGGCGGAGTTAGTAGCGGTGAGCGGAGCCTCACCGAGCCGCCGCGTCTCGTGCGCGACGGCGGGGCACCAGGCTGCCAGGGGCGCGCCGCAGGCGAGCCCAAGGGGGAGCATGTGGATGGGTCCGCGCTTGCTTGCTGGGCGCCAAACGGTGTCGAAGGTCGTGGACCTCCGTGGGGTGTTTGCGGGGTAAGTGAGGCAGCTCTCAACCTGGTTGACGGTTGAGACCCCCTGTAACCCTTTAGTTTGGGGTTCACAGGCTCGACAGGCCCCAAACAAATGATTTGTGTTAGAGTGGTTTGGTATTGTTAAAAATCTCTCTCGCAGCCGGCCCGAGACTGGCTTCGACCGGCAAATTCGACCGGCCGCGCAGCCGCCCGCCCGAGGCTCGCGCCGAGGCGCGAGGGCGAGCATGACCATGGGAGGGAGCGGCCAAACCGTCTCGCCCTCCCTCACTGGTGTGTTCATTGGGGGGGGTCATAACAAACACGGTACATACAGGAAGGATCGAGCTCAAGTAAGTGCCCTCAAGATACAAGAACGAATATATTTCCTCTTTGGTTCGCTCGCTTTCACTGCAGAGCTGCAGCAGCACCGCGCGGTGATGAAAAGAGGGCCTCTTTTGACGACGCTTCGATCTCGTTCTCCCACACCTTTGAGAAGCCCTCCAAGTACCACAAGAAGCCCTCCAAAAGCGTCCCCGAGACACGAAATGCTCTCCTTCCTGGTCGCCTCCGCGACGGCGTACGGCGGCAGCATGATGATGTCGCGAGGCGGCATGGGCATGCGCGGCGGCAGGTACGGCCCGATGTCGGGCGGGTACGGTGTGTTCATCGGGGGGCGGCGGGGGGGGGGGGGGGTCATAACAAAAACACGGTACAGGATCGAGGTGCACGCTGCTGAAGCAGTGTCGTCCCCCCTCTCCATCGTCTCACTGGGAGACGTCGGCGGTGGTGGCGGTGTGACCGATCGAGCTAGCTTACAAGACACGTACCGGATCAATACACATATTACAGTCCCACAAAAGGCTCGCTTCTATAGATACGATCGAGGGGTCCCGTAATACCATGCGGAATCGACCCCATCCAGTGCTCAAGTGCTCAAGACGCTTACCTTAAAAGGTACTTACTATTCCAAATTGCGCTTTTGCATTTCTTTTTATTCGAAGACGAACACGGTCATGTCGTCTGCATCCTCGTCAGTTTTGTACCTCTGGTCGAAGAGGATCAGGTCGCCCATCATCGGCGAGACGGCGGCGCTCCTCCTCGCCGGCCTGAGGGTACCCCCTAGGCTTAAGAGGGTGGGCCCTGGGGCGCCTGCGGCTATGGTTTTAAAACCGGCCAAGGCCGGTTTTAAGAGCTGCTGGGCCGCCGATTCCGTAAACGGTCGTAAACGCTTAAAAGTTGCGGGAGAGCTCCCATTCGGCGCCCGACGGAGGTGCCAATATTAGGGATCTAGGTGGCGTGACGTGCCACTGCACAGGGTGTGGGAATATAGGGATATAGGTAGACTATTCAGCACTGTGGGGGGGGAGAGAGTGATAATAGGGGTGCTGGGGTGGGGCTGGTGGAGGTGATTCTCCGGGTCAGTCTGGAGGTCATTCTCCACCACCTCCTGCGACAGGCTGTCCGGGGGTGCGTCCAGCCCGGCGCTCGCGCATGACGGCGGGCGAGGAGCGCCGAGAGGCGGAGTTAGTAGCGGTGAGCGGAGCCTCACCGAGCCGCCGCGTCTCGTGCGCGACGGCGGGGCACCAGGCTGCCAGGGGCGCGCCGCAGGCGAGCCCAAGTGTCTATCTGAAGCATGAAGTTACTTCAGGAAGTAAGTTCTAAGTATTCACCGCACTATAGCACGGGCTCGCACCCCCCAACCGCTTACTAGGAACCCCTCGCCTTATTGTTTGGCCCCCCCAGGCCACACACAGACCCCCAGACCGGTCACTGGGGCCGACAATTAGGGTTCAAACACGCCCGGGAGACAGCCCAAACACAGTTACTTCATAGTTGTTACTTCTGCGGCATTCTCGCGCACATGTCGGCCGAGCGCGCGCCCCCTGCTGCCGGCAAACGGTCTCCTGAGAGCCCTCATACACCCTTGCCACCCCCCCAGCCCAAGACATCATCAGAGGCTCCGCCTGGCCCCGCGCCCGCGGCCCCCGCGGCCGCCACGGCCGCCGCTGGCGCCGCTGGCGCCGCCGCCGGAGGCGCGGCGTGGCGAGCTTCGGACGGGACGGTTCTTCTTGATGCCGAGGCGGAGGCCGTGCACTCGGGGAACACCTGCGCAGTGCATGGCGTAGCAGCGGCGGCCGGTGCTAGGGTTGCAGAACGCGTGGTTGGCATCGCCGTTCGGGCCGCAGGTCACACAGTACCAGCCCGAGAAGGTGCCAAAGTCGTTGGTGCTCTCCCTGTCGCGCGCGCAGAACTGGCGGTGGTCGTTCCTTCCAGTCGGCGGTGTCGCCATTCTCCTCGCCGTCGTCGTGCTCCTCGGCGAGCTCGCAGTCGCTGTCGTCGCTGTCGTCGAGGTCTGGAATGCGCGCGCCGTCAGGCTGCTCGTCGTCGTCGGGCTCACCCGCAGCAGCAGGTGCAGCCGCCGCAGGAGCCTCCGCAGGCGAAGGCGCAGCGGCTGGGGCGGCTCTGCCGCCGCGCCGACGCGGCGGGAGGAGCTCGACACCGAGCTCCGACCCGCTCGAGGTCATCATCGGCGGTTCCATACTCCGCTTGCACGACCGGCGGCGGCAACGTGCTTGGGCCAGCTGCACCTGGGGCCGGCGCCAACTGCAGCCTTGTGGAAGCTGCTGCTGCGAGTAGTGCCGCCGCCGGGCCCGGCACCGCCGCGGCGGCAGCGGGCTTCTTTCCCTTTGCAGCCTTTGGGGGCATCTGACGCTCGACCCGACCCGGTCACGGTCGCAGTCAAAGCTGTCACGGGTCAGCGAGTCAACGACATGGTGACGACACGATCGAAGGCGAAGCATGAAGCCCCGCAAGGCGCTGCCGCGCCTCAAGGCGCGCCTCTGCCGCACGCGCTCACATCATGCACCGCGCGCCGCGAGCCGGGACGTGCCGTCCGTTTCAGTCCATCGCCCGCCGACAACATGCTCCGGTGCTCCGTTTCTTTTTTCACGCCTTCACGCGCGTTCAGGCGCCCCCGACTGCACTGAGCGCACCCCCCACCGTCCCCTGCCAGGCCCAAGCACGCCGCAGGCTCCGGTGAGGCCGCCTGGGGAGCGCAGGAGGTCTGCCCGCCTCCGCGACCAAGTGCTCGATACGCCCGGCGTACACAAGTCCAAGAACAAGCCCCGGCGGGCGCGGTGGAGCTCCTACACCGACTCCGACGGTGACCACCACTCCTCAGAAGAGTATTAGGGAGCGGGTCCGTTCCAGTCCAGGTCTGCCCTGTGTCTAGGGAGCTGTGGGCGGGGGCTAGGGGCCATTGCAGGCGCGGGGCGGGGATAGTTACTTCTCGAAGTAAGTAGTTACTTCAGGAAGTAACTGCTTCAGATAGACACAAGGGGGAGCATGTGGATGGGTCCGCGCTTGCTTGCTGGGCGCCAAACGGTGTCGAAGGTCGTGGACCTCCGTGGGGTGTTTGCGGGGTAAGTGAGGCAGCTCTCAACCTGGTTGACGGTTGAGACCCCCTGTAACCCTTTAGTTTGGGGTTCACAGGCTCGACAGGCCCCAAACAAATGATTTGTGTTAGAGTGGTTTGGTATTGTTAAAAATCTCTCTCGCAGCCGGCCCGAGACTGGCTTCGACCGGCAAATTCGACCGGCCGCGCAGCCGCCCGCCCGAGGCTCGCGCCGAGGCGCGAGGGCGAGCATGACCATGGGAGGGAGCGGCCAAACCGTCTCGCCCTCCCTCACTGGTGTGTTCATTGGGGGGGTCATAACAAACACGGTACATACAGGAAGGATCGAGCTCAAGTAAGTGCCCTCAAGATACAAGAACGAATATATTTCCTCTTTGGTTCGCTCGCTTTCACTGCAGAGCTGCAGCAGCACCGCGCGGTGATGAAAAGAGGGCCTCTTTTGACGACGCTTCGATCTCGTTCTCCCACACCTTTGAGAAGCCCTCCAAGTACCACAAGAAGCCCTCCAAAAGCGTCCCCGAGACACGAAATGCTCTCCTTCCTGGTCGCCTCCGCGACGGCGTACGGCGGCAGCATGATGATGTCGCGAGGCGGCATGGGCATGCGCGGCGGCGGGTACGGCCCGATGTCGGGCGGCTACGGCCGCGGCGGGTACGGCTACGAGAACCGGGACCCGATGATGCCTCGCACTGACCTCGTGGCCGACCTTGGCCTTGGACAGTACGGTGGGTATGGCGAATACGGTGTCCGCGCCGCCCCCCACCGCCGCCCGAGACAGCCGCTCCGCCTCGCTAATGCGTCTCGCCCTCCACCAACAACAACCCTCGCCGTCGAGCGGGCCGTGACCGAGATGGGAGTGGAGAGGAGAGGGAGAGGAGAGGGAGAGGAGAGGGAGAGGAGAGGGAGAGGGGAGGAGGGAGGAGAGGGGAGGGGAACGTCCCGTCACAGCCCTCGCTACAGCCCTGGCCCTCACTCGTCCTCACCCTTGCCCTCTGCCTGCCTCACCTCTGCCTTTGCCTGCCTCTGCCCGCCTCTGCATGGCCCTTGCCCTTACCGACCCTGCCCTGCCCGCGTCGCGCAGGCGGCTACGGCGGCGGATACGGGATGGGCCGCTACGGCGGTGGGTACGACAGCTACAACATGGGCATGGGCGGCGGCTACGGAATGGGTCGCTTCTGCAAGCTCGCATCCAGACCCGCATTCTGCCACTCTCCGTTTCTCATCCATCCTGCTGCTCCCCTTCGCCCGTCCTCCCCTCCTCCGTGACCGTGCCTGCTTCCCCGGCAGGCTCCCGCTACGGCGGCTCGTACGGAGGATACGGCGGCGACTACTATGGCGGCGCGTTTCTCAACCTCCCGCCCGCACCCCGCTCTTGCGGCCGGCGCCTCTTCACGCCTCCGGCCGCGAACAGGCGGCTATGGTGGCGACTCCTACGGCGGCGGCTCGTACGGCTACGGCGGCCGCGGCGGCTATGGCCGCATGGGCGGCGGGTGCGGCCGCGCCCCTTGCCCCCGCCCCCGCTCGTTCTCACCCCCGCACATCTCTCGTTGACCCTCACCGCCCGCCACCCTCATCGCCCCACTCCCAGCCCGCCACCCCCGAGCCCGCCGCCGCCACTGCCCCCGCCGCCCCCTCCCCCGCCCCCGCCGCTCCCGCCCCCGCCGCTCCCGCCGCCACCAGTCCCCGCCGCCGCCGAGCCCGCCCTCGCCCAGCGCCGCCCTCCCCTCTCCCGCCGCCCGCAGGTACGGCCGTGGCGGGTACGGCCGCATGACAGAGCGCATGGGCCTCGGGGGCCGCTACGGCGGGTCGCGCGGGGGCTATGGCGGCTCGTACGGCGGCTCGTACGGCGGCGGACCCTCTTTCCTGCCCTCCCCCCTCCCCTCGGACACACCACCACCCCTCACACCTCTGGGCCCGAACAGGCGGCTACGGTGGCCGCGGCGGGTACGGCTACTGAGCCGCCCCGTCCGAGGTGAGTGCGCCTCCGCCCGACGCCTCCTCGCCCACGCCCCGCCAAGTCGCCGCCCCTCCCTCCGCAGGCGCCCGCCCTCTTCGCGCGCGTCGGCCAACATGGGCATCGGAGGCGGGGCACGGGAGGGAGAGCGGAGTAGGTCTCCGCGCCCAAAGGGGCGTGCCAACACGCGACCGCGAGGCCGGGCAAAGGCCCGGTGCGGTCCGTGGCGGCTCCTCTCTCCTGCCCCATCCTCATTTCTCTTGGTTCTCTTGCTTTTGGATTGGGTCTTTGGCGCTCCGCACCATGCCATCGGCACCCCCCCACACACACACCCTTCTTGTCTCTGTCGCCCCTCGCCACTCTCATCTTCGTCTTCCCCCGTGCTATCTCCCCATTCGTCTACATATTGTCAAAATATGTCTTCTTGACAAATATTGATTTCAGCAGACCAGGTGCCATAGCGAGCCGCCGCCGCGCGCACAACAATGTTGTGGTGCCCACACGCCACAGTCCATATACAGACGCCGGCAGACCGCGCACCGCGGTGGCGCTCCGCTCGCTTCTCCCCTCTCCCCTCCTCTTCCAGCTCGCTCTGCACACCGGAAGCCCGTTTCACCCCACCTCAGGCGTGCCTCAAGTCACGCCTGGCGTTGCCGTTTGAGGCGCGCCCGCAAGTCGCCCCCCCCGCCCGGACGAGGCATCACCGTCACCTTGGAGGAGCGGGCCGCGGCAGCGCCGCCCTCGCCGCGCTTGCGAGGCTCGGAGGGGCCGTCGCCGAGCCTCGAGCGCAAATCGCCGACGCTCTGCTCGGCGGCGCCGCCCTGGCCCGGCTGAAGCTTGGAGCGCAAGTCTCCGGCGGGCGCGGAGGCTCGATGCGCCCCGCCCTTCGCCTTGCCGGGCAGCGTCAGCCGGCTGCGCAAGTCGTCCGGCGCGCCATTCCCAGCAGCGCCGCTCGCCGACCTGCCTTCGTCGGAGAGGCGGCTGCGCAAGTCCTCCGTGCCGCTCGCCAGCGGCACGATGCGCACCACCGTGCCGCCACCGGGACCGGCACCGGTGCGGCTCGCCTCCTTCCGCTCCGGTCCACCCGCCGCAGGCAGGGCGCCACCGCTGGGGGCACCGCTCGGGGCGGTGTCGCTCTTTCCGGCGGCCTGCGTGCCGAAGCGCGCCCCGCGGGCGGCCAGCGCGGTGTCCGACACCGTGTCCCGGGCAGACGGAGCCGTCTCGAGCCGAATCACCCGAGCGCCAGCGGGAGCGGCGGCAAGGGCGGCAAGGGCGGCGGCGGGTGCGGCGGCGGGTGCAGCGGCGGGTGCGGCGGCGGGGGAGGGTGCAGCGGCGGCGGCCGGCGCCATGCGAGGTTCCTCCCCTCCGCGGCGCGTGCCGCGCTCGTCGACGGCCTCGGCCGCCCTGCCGTCGGCTGGAGGCCTGCGGCCCGCCTCTCGCTCCCCCTCGCCGCGCCCTCGCGCCGCGTCTTGCCCACCGCTACGCTGGCCCTGCGTTGCGCGGGGCTCGAGCCGGTGGGCCCCGGCCGCCCCCTCCCTCGCCCCCTCCCTCGCCCCCTCCCCGCCCGCCCGGTGCGCCGCCGGCTGGTCGGGGCCGCGGGCAGGCGGCGCCTCAAAGTTCGACCGCTCGCTCTGGCCCCACCGCCACTTCTCCTCTGCCGGCCTTCCGCCGCGCGCCGCGCCGCTCTGCCGCTCCGGGCTCTGCCGCCCGCCGTCGCGCCCGCTCTCGGCCTCCCTCCCGCCCTGCGGCGCGCCCCTCCTCTGCGCGGGGCTGCGCTCCCGCTCCCGCCGCACCGGGCTGCGCGGACCGCGCCCCCCCGCCCTCTGCTCCCTCTGCTCCCTCTGCGCCTCCCCGCCCCGCCGAGGGCTGCGGCTGCGCGCAGGGCCGGGCCGGCCCTGCTCTCGCCCGTCGCTGCGCCGGCCGCCGTCGTGCCACTCCGCGCGCCTCTCGCGCCGCGGGTCCCGCCACTCCTCCCTCCTGTCATCCCGCCTCTCCTCCCGCCAGCCATCGCCCCAGCCGCCGCGGCTGCGGTCGCTGTCGCGCGAGTATCCGCGCCGCTGCTCCCACGGCTCCTCCCCACGGCTGGAATACCTCGGCCCGCCGCCGCCGCCGCCGCCGCCGCCGCCGCCCCAACCGCCGCCGCCGTAGCCCGGCTCTGGCCGTCCGCCCCGCCCTCCCCGATCGCCACCGCCGCCGCCTCCGCCGCCTCCACGCGCGCCCCACTCGCCACGCTGCAGGCGAATCCGCTCCCGCTCCCGCTCCCCGCCTCCGCGATGTCCCCGGGCCGCGCCGCCGCCATCCCCGCCTCCGCCTTCGCCTTCGCCTTCGCCTCCCCCTCCTCCGCCTCTGCCGCCGCTCGCGTGCTCCCGCGTGTCCGACGCCGTCAGCGTGGAGACGGTGCTCGCGCACGACGTGAAGTGCTGCGCCACCGGCAGGTCGTCTGGGGCGCTCGGCTCCGCGGCGTCGACAATATCGTCGAACGACTCCTCGTCGAGCGCCGCGAGCGACGAGGGAGCCTCCTCCAGCCGCTCCGCTTCCTCCAGCCGCTCCTCCTCCTCCAGCCGCTCCGCCTCCTCCAGCCGCTCCTCCGCCGCCTGCCTCTCCTCCGCCGCCGCCCTCTCCGCCTCTGCAGCCGCCGCCCTCTCCGCCTCTGCAGCCGCCGCCCTCTCCGCCTCTGCAGCCGCCGCCCTCTCCGCCTCTGCAGCCGCCGCCTCCTCACCCGCGTCGCCAGTGGGCGGCTCGAGCGGTCGGGTCGCAGCAGCCGCCTCGGCAGCGTCCGCCGCCCCGCCGCTCGCCTCGCGCGCACCTTCCGCCACCGCGCCGTTCGCCGCCGCCGGCCCTGCGCTCGCGTGAGCATCTCCGCCGGCGCACCCCTCCGCCTCTGCCGCTCCCTCCTCGCCGGCCGGAAGAGCCTCTGCGGCGGAGGCGGAAGGGTGCGCCGGCGGAACAGCGCCGGCGTGCGCGGCTGGTGCGAACGAGGCCGCCGCCGACACCGCCGCGTGCGTGTTCGCGGTGAGCATCGGGGCGGACGTCCGCGTGCCGGGCGGCGCGAGCCGGCCAGCCGCGCTCGGGTCGATTGCAGCCGCAAACATGGCGGCCTGCTGCGCGAGCGCCGCGCCGGAGGACTGGAGCGCGGCCGCCGTCTGCGCCTCGGTGGTCGCCACATCGCCCCAGCGCGTCTCTCCCGTGCGCAGGTTGCGCCAGTAGTAGTAGCCCGTCTCGTGGTCGTACATCTGCTCCCACTCGGCAGCGGCCGCCGCCGCCTCTGTGGGCCGAGACGCGAGGGGGCGGTTGGGCGCAGGCCATGGGGGCGGCGCGTGCGGGAAGCGCGCGGGGTGGGTCCCGCACCCTCTTGCTTCTGCTTGCAAATTTTGAAGTGGATCTCCAGCACTTTGGACGACGAAAAGTTCTTGCCGCACAGCCGGCAGATGTTGACGTTCGCGGCTCGCCCTGGAGAGCGGCGACCTCTCTCGGACGCCTGCCACTGCGGCGAAGGCGAGCGGCGATACCGGTCGCGCCGATCCCAGTCGTCTCCTCCGCGAGGCATCGCCACTCGGGCCAGGGCGTGGAGGTGGAGAGTTTCGCGAGGTGTTTGCCCGGGCGGCGGTCAGCAGGGGTTCCGGCTCCTCCCTCTTCCCACCCAGGTTTCGCGACTCTGCACTCACACATCGAGCCTTCCTGTCTCTCTGCTGCCGATTCATCGGGCGTGCTCAGATATTGAAAGAAAGAAAGAAAGAAAACTGCCATGCCAAGGGTAGGATGGGAGGACGGCACAAGATATTGTAAGAACGACCATCTCTTCATCGCCGATCTCGCCGACGCCGCTCGCCGCTCGCCGCCGCCCTGCCCTGCCCCGCCCAGCCCTCGCACAAACAAACCAACACACACACACACACACACACACACACACACACACACACACACACACACACACACACACACACACATACACACACACAAAACACACCCTGCCCTCACTCGAGCGCCCCGCGCCCTCCCGCCCCACGCCCTGCGCCTCACGCCTCGCGTCCCACGCACGCCCCGCACCCCGCGCCCCCACACCCCTCACCTCGCGCCTCACGCCTCCCTCCCCACCCTCTCAGGCATTTCTGTTCTCGTCCCCGCTACTCGCCGACTCCTCCTCCCCCCGCATGACCGACGACTACCCGTCCTTCGGCGACTCCTCCCTCTTCGGCGCCAACGTCTACTACCGGGGGACCGTCGCCCTCGGGCGTACTGGCTTGATCCCAGCGGCACACGTGTACGAGGGGGGGCTCCAAAAGGTCGGCATGCCTGGCATGTCGGCTTACTAGGCAGGTCATTGACCTCCCCCCCACTTGTCCACCCGGCGTGAGGGGCGGGAGCGCAGCCATTCCAACGGCTGGGAAAATTTCTGAACGGCCGTGCATGCGTCTGCATGCCGGACAACTAAGAAGGTCCCTCGCTCCCGCTCCTCTCTCGGAAGACGCGCACCGGCCCGGGGGACTCGCTTGCGATCCCGCTCCAGCCAGAGGCCGCGTGAGGCGTGTGGGACGGTGCACGCTGGGGCTCGGGCCCCGAGTGCGCTGGCCTCGCGTCTCGAGGGGAGGGCGGCTCGTAACTGAGGTTCGCCGTCAGAGACAGTCGTCCTCCCCTCCTCGGCCATTCCAACGGCCAGACCGCTCGCTTAAGGCTGATTGGCTAGACGAGCGGCCTACCTCCAACGGGGCGGTCCGGGAACGCGTGCGTGGAACCTGCCCACCTCGGTGGGAGGTGGTTTGGCGCCGACGGACCGCCCTCTCCACCAACTAGCGCAGACGAGAGCAGGGCAGAACCGGGGACTGGGGAGCCGGAGCAGACGGCATCGGCCGCCGAGGGAACGTCGGGAAGAGGCACGAGGAGGGCGGCGACCTCGACCGACTATGGAGGACCCGTCGCCAGACGACGCAGGGCAGAAGACGGTGAGGCGGAGCAAACGCGCAGGGCGAGACGAGGGAGGGAGCAGGACTTTGCGGAGATCAGCAGGAGGATGTACGACGAGATTAGGAGCAGCAGGGACCCGAGGGACCATGTGGAAGACGGCTCTAGTGCTAGTTAGTCCCCCATCGGGAGGACGACCCCGGCTCGTCGCCGACCACACCCACAAAGAACCCTGCACAAAGATCGCAAGGGCGGGGACCTGCTCCTTAGTCCTTTTTACCCATCTCACAGTATAGAGAGATGTCCGTTTTTATTTATTTATTTCACAACACTTACACGGTCTCACGCGGCCGACGCCGGCCTTGCCCACGGCACACACTCTGCAAAATCTGCATCGTCGGCAGCGGGCGGCTGGCACTTGCGGGCCCCAGGAGTGAGGCCGCCGTCGAGTGTGTTGAGCACGTCGTCTGCGTGCAGCTCAAAGTTGGCGGTCGATCTCGCCGGCAGAAAGGGAGCGGGCACAGCTCCCGCCTGCATCGCCGACCAGTCCACCCCGGCTAGAAAGGGGTGGGCACGCACCTCGGACGCGCCGCCCGCGCCGAGCCGCGCGTCGGCGTCGGAGTGCCGGAGGGATGTGACAAAAGCCCGGCCGGCGGGCGAAGCGGTGGCCCAGGGAGCGCTAGACCGCATGCCCGACAGCGACGCGCGGCGAGGCCTCTCCTCCTCCTCCTCGCTCGCCGCCTACGGAGAGGGACGGCTCGCGCGCCTCACCGCACTCCGCCGCCCGAGGGCTGGGCTGGGCTCCTCCTCCCCGAGGCATGCCTCCGCGAGGCCGTCCTCGCCGGGAAGTGCGTCGTGAAGCAGCTGGTACAGAGTCACGCCGAGCGAGTACCTGCGGAGAGCGGGAGAGGTGAGAGGCGCTGCCGCCGCCCGCCGCACCCGCCAGTCAGACTGCGCCAGTCAAAGGTCAGCGTGTACCAGCCGCCACTGAGCGCCTCGGGCGGCATGTAGGCTCGCGTGCCCGCCTTGCCTCGCGTCTGCGCGGAGGCCGACGGCAGCGCCTCGCTGACGCCAAAGTCGGAGAGCCTACAGGAAGGCTCCGAGAAGGCTCCGAGAGAACGAGACGGCTCGCTGACGGCCAGAGTCGGAGAGCATGATCGTCCCCGCGGAGGTCAGCAGCGTGTTCTCCGGCTTGAGGTCTCGATAGAGGATCAGTTGGGAGTGGAGGTGGGCGAGGCCGCAGACAAGCTGCGCGGCGTAGAACCGTACGTGCCCCTCCTCGAAGCCGCCCGGAAAGGAGTGGTGGAGGTGGTAGAGCAGAGTGCCGCCAAGCGCACAGTCCATCACAAAGTAGACGGCGCACGCGTCGCTGAAGGTGTACGCTAGGCTCGTCACAAAGCGGCTGCAGTCGGCCGAGGAGAGCGAAATGAGGATAAAGCGCTCACGGATCGCAGACTTTACGGCATTCTTCTGCCGCAGGCGCTCCTTGTCGAGCGTCTTCAGCGCGTACTTCCGTCCGTCCCTTCTATCCACTGCGAGCGACACTTTGCCGAACGTGCCTTCGCCGAGAACGCGCTCAGTTCGAAAGCTTTTGAGCGAGACTGCGCTTCCGTCATCCACAGCGGAGCTTGCGACGCAGCCCATTCCTCAGGAGAGAGAGAGCGAGATGTGGCGAGGCTGCGGCGTTCGAAACACCGAGCTGCGGGCGCTCAGCTGCCGAGCCGCCGCAAAGGCGATTTTTCTTTTTTGGTTCCCTTATAAGAAAAGGAGTGAACAGTGAAGGTAACTCAGAACAGAATTCAATCTCAATGTCCCACCCACTGCGTTTATCAGAAGACCGCACCCCCCTGCGCGCAGGCCTTCTAGGCCCGCGGGTAGTCTCCCCCCATCCCCAGGGCCTCCAGGGCTCGCACCTCCACCTCTCACAGACCAGGTGAGCAGGTGAGCAGGTGAGCAGGTGAGCAGGTGAGCACGCACACTGTGCGCGCATTTTCTTCTCATGACAAGGCTGTGAACGGGTGCCCCGACTTTATCGCCGTCGCCGAGAGAGAGAGACATTCCCGGGTACATGCCGGGGAGCCGCGGCACCGCGGCGTCGAACCGGCTCTCGTATGCCCGCAACCCGCTCCTCGGCAGTCCCAGCCAACGCGAGAGTGCGCTGGGCACTGCGCTGCTCGACTCGCCGCCGGCTGGGACAACCGCACTCTCCACGTTCTTCAACCTCATAAACAACTACGTCGGAATGGTGCTCCTCTCGATGCACTTCACCTTTGCGCGCAGCGGCTGGCTCGCGCTGCCCGTGCTCTTTGGGCTCACAGCATTCGGAGCCTTCACGGGTGATTGCATCATACTCTGCTACCAGACGCTCGAGGTGTGAGTCGGCTTGCCGTCGGCGAGCCATCCAGTAGCTTTGCACGGGGTGTGCCTCTCCTGTAGGCGCGCAACCCGACCCGCCCGCCGTCGTATGCTGAGATTGCGACGCAAGCGCTTGGTGGATGCGGCAAGTGGCTCACGATCGTCTCCTCCCTGATCGAAGTCTTCGTCGCCAACGTGACTAGCCCGCATTGCCCATTGGAGCCGGCGCGCCGCGCTGGACGCAGCCCTCATATCCCCCTGTGCCTTCCCGTAGATATGCATGCTAATCATCATTTGGCAGAACGTCGCCCTGCTGCTGCCTAGCGTGTCCTACTCGTGGGTGATTATTGGCTGCGTGGCCGCCTCCTTCCCCACAAACTGGCTGCGCGACTTCTCGCTGCTTTCTATGCTCTCCTCCTTTGCTCTTCTCTCCATCATGCTCATTCTCGCTGTCGTCGTCTACGACGTCGCTGCAGACGAGCACGCGACAGATCGCACGCTGGTCGAGCCGTCGGGATTGTTCATGAGCAGTTCAATCATGCTCGCCGGCTTGACTGGCCATGTAGGGCTGCCGCCGATGTACTCAGAGATGAAGGACCCCTCGCTGTTCCGCCCGACGATGTACGCCGCCTTTCTGGTCATGTTCTTGATGTATGCCGTCGCTGGGGTCGGCGGCTACTTGCTCTACGGCGCCGAAGGCCACGTGCTGATCACAGAGGATATGGCGGCAGCGGGCACGAGCATCTTCTCAAAGGTGCTCACGACGCTCGTCCTCGGCTCGATCACCTTCAAGCTGTTTTGCGGCGTGCCGATGGGTGCGCCTTGATCCCCACTCGGTCGTTACTGTCCGGCCCAACCGGATCCTCCGCATTCCGGCAGGTGTGCTCATTCTGGTGGAGATTGTGCAGGACCTGTACCAGGAGAGGACGGGCACCACCTTCTCCGAGGCGGTCGCCTTCCCAATGCGCGTCGCCACCTGGGCGGGCACGATCGTCGTCGCGATCGGCATCCTGCCCTACCTCGAGTACGTCACCGCCCTCATCGGCATCAACTCTCTTCTCATCTCGGTGCTCCTCCCGCTCATCTTCTTCCTTGTGCTGCACCGCAAGACTCTCGGAGGAGTGACCTTCGGAGGGCTTAGCGTCCTGCTTGTGCTGACGTTCATTGCAACGGTGATCATCAGCATTGCAGACGTGCAAGACTTCCTCGCGAAATTCGCAGGAACAAGGTAGATCGCCGCAGAAGCAGGAGCGACGTACGCAAGCACCGGAAACGACCACGGCAGACCGTTTTTCGTTTTTCGTTTTCAAGAGTCAGAGGGAGACCGGGAGGACGGGTTGGGAAAAATGTTTTGAGAGACGCACCAGAGCCGTAAAGAGATGGAGGATACGCGCGCCAAATCATTAGGCAAATCGCAAAGTTGGTCGCAGAGGGGCGAGAATCAAAGTTTGTGCCCGTCATCAAGGAAAGCAGTGAGACGGCACCTCAGGCAGAGGCTCTCCCCTCTGCCCAGCGCAGACTGAATGCAACTCTGACTGGGGGCGCCACAAGCTCTGCAAGTACTCCGGCCCGCGACAGAGCACCCTCAGAGCCGACTCGGGTTCCCAGATGACCTCGCTGTGCAGGCTTTCTCTGTAGCCGCCGCCCTTGGTCTGTAGAACGCGCAGCTGGGTAAGGATCATGTCGTCGTCGGGCGACGCCACACCTGCTGCTGCGAGGACGCGGCCCCAAGCTCGCGTGCTGCGGCCCATGGCGCCCTCCTCCTTCTCAAAGGCAACGAGTTCCTCCTCCGCAAAGGAGGAGGCGCCGCAGCGGGGCTGCACACGCTTGGACACGAGTGATTGGAGGTTTGTGTGGTCCCTGAGACGAGCGACGAGGTTCTTGACGAGACTTCCTATGGTCCGAGGTGAGGGATCAGCGGCAGGGGGTGGCGGAGGAGCGAGGTGGTGAGAACAGGCAAGCGCCCTCATCGAGCCGTGCCAGCGTGGTGGCTCTGGCGCTGGAGTTTGTCCGGATGGCCATACACGCGTCTGATGGGTGTCCCGTCGAATCGACCGAGTGCTGTCGCTTCTCTCGGATGAAGCAGTTCCGCACCTGACGGAAGGCATGCGGAAGGTGAGGTGAATGCGATGGGGCACCTGCGCGCATCTGCGCGTCGCTCCTCGCAGATGAGGCGATCCAAAACGTCGCAACGGTCGCTCAAGAGGACTACAGGTCGCAGATCCGCGAGTGCTGCCCATGCGCTCGTCCTGCTCGAGCCTGGCTCCGTCAGGTGGTAGTCGAACACCTTCATCACCGCCACGTAGCCGCCCCGCCTGGCACTGGCGTCCGCCTCGCGCAGGCACTCGGCAGCGCTTAGCTGCGTGTGCTTGACGCATCTGTCGACCCACTCCATATTTGGCTCAGGCTTCAGCGCTGACGGATCGACCGCAGCACCACGCGGGTCAGGGTACGGCGGTAGGCGTGCGTCCACCCCGTGCAGCCGAAGCAACGAGACCAGAGTGAAGAAGACCTGCAGCGGGCGTGGTGCGACGGGTCTGCTGCGCAAAGAGTGCATTCTACCAACGGCGCAGGACGCAGAAGCTTCAGGAGGCAGCGCAGCATCTACTACACGGCGGGCACCCAGCTCGAGCCGGAGCAGCCGTGGGAGAACATGACAATGAGTCTGCTCGGCGGGATCAAGCTGCTGCCCTCGAGCAGCTCTGCGCCGCAGTGGCCTTCCGCCGCAGCGGCGACGATGCAGGCACGGTGCAGCAGCAGGGTGGGTAGTGACCGAAGGAGCAACATGCACAAGACAAGTTGTGTGGGACGGCCGCAGCGTTTTCTTGGCTCGAAGTAGTCTGTGTTTTTTTCCATTCGTACGTACTTTTAAAGGGAGAAAGGGTTTCGCTCTCTCTCTTCTCTCTCAGTGTATGTAGGTCTTACGAACGTGCCCGAGAGAGATAGAGAGCTTTCTCCCACTAAGCTTAGACACATTTCTCTTCTTTAAGCTTAAAGATATACCCGAGGGTGAACTCCTGACGGGGTTTGCGATGAGGAGCGACTCCGAAGGGTGTTCGGTTAGGAACCACTCCTGAGGCGTTTCTTTTCCTCTCTTTTCGTTCCTTGATCGTCGATAGGCGCGCAGTCCGCATTCGTCGAAAGACCGGACGACTCCTTCCCGCCGCTCTCCCGCCTCTGTTTGCTTCGTCATGGCGTCGAGCTGCATGGACAAGGAGTCGCCCAAGCGGCTCACCGAATACGAGCCTCCGATGGCCGAGTACGACACAACCAGTGAAGAAAGCATGGATGGTGGCTCTGACGCGGAGCCAGGCGACAACAGCGCTCGCTCTCTCCGTGCCACGACCAAGCTTGACGACGCGACTGCAGGCTTCTCTGGGAGCTTCAACATCGCTGCGAAGACTAAGGTTTACCTTGGTATCATTAGAATGTCCGGCAGCATCCACGTTGCCAATGGCTCAGTTGCGATAGACATCCACGCCTCCTCGGGTGTCTCGATTGTCGGCGATCGCTCCTACGGGCTGACGTATTCCGAAGATGGCATTGGGCACGCGAGTCTCAGCGACAACCGCTTCGGGTCGCTCAAGCGCACAGAGGTGACGTCGATCACCTACTACCCCGACACCGACACAGTCCTCATCTGCGCAAGATGGAAGAGCAAACTGCTGACGGTCCCTGTCGAGGTGCTCTTCGGCCGTGCAGATAGCTGACGTGCCTGTGAAGGACACACCCCTCTTATTTGCCAGCTCTTTGGTGCGGCTTGCGAGCTTGTAGCCTATTGTCCTGCGCCTCCGAGCTCCGTCTCGACCGTCTCGGAGTCGGACCTCGGTGGTTCTGGTTGAATCGCAGGCTCGTTCATATTAGATTGTTATAGCTGTCACACTTGTGCCCTCATCCCATCCCCTTCTTGCGATGCCCTAACGTGTCATTTTTACGCTCCCGCTTTGCGCGCCTGCTTGAAGCGTGCGCCCCTGCGCTCCTATACCCCCAGATCGGGTGCAGCTTGTTCTCTTGTGGCGGCAGCGGCGGCAGCGGCGGCAGCGGCGGCAACGATACGGGCGGCAGCGGCGGCCATCGACGGGCGTCGGCAACCAGCCTTGCTGCCCGTAGCTCGAAAGGCGAGGCGCCGAGCGCAGTACCGTTGCTCGCGGCTCGCAGGAGCGACGCGATGCGCCTGCCACTGGTGCGGCCATGCCGCCAATCAGCGGAGAACCCTCCCGCGCCGCGGATCGACCAGCTGGGGAGCGCGGCTTTGGAGGCATTGCTACAGGCCGCTGCAGAAGCACTGGGGTCACATTGGCATGTCTCCCTCTTGGAGTTCTGCAGCACGTTCGGGCACGAGTCGCAGGAGATCGTCCGCATGCACCACGGATGACACACCACTAGCTCCGTCAGGTTGTCCCGTGGACGGCCAAGCAGGACACTGTCCCATCCAAACTTGCGCGCGGCGACGCACACACCGGAATCGCTGTGCCCAAGCGCACCGCAGCGGTCTGGGCTCGCCAGGCAGGGCGCCAGGCCGCGGCGAACCTCGCTCTTGTTTAGCCGCTGCTGCATGTAGTGGTAGGAACGTTGCTTCATCAGGAAACGTGCAGTGCGGTGGACTTCGACAAAGGCACTGCTCGCGCCGTCGATGTAGAACCAGCAGCCGTATCCGCCGCCGTCGCAGCCGTAGCCGTGGTTCTGCGGGTGCCACCGGAAGACCGGGAGCAGCATCCTCTGCGCTCTGGGATCGACCCACAAATGCACAACCCCGGGCTCCACAGGTGTGTCCCACGACTCAGCAGGCAACGACGCAGCAGCAGTTCGCCACCGACGCGGAATCCGCCGGCGCTGCCCGCCCCCCGACGAACGAGACACGAACGACACACGTACAGAACGTGCGTTTGCGTGTCGGGCGGCGCTACTTTACTTGTAACGCGACGGGCCCTCAGCGGAGCTGGGAATAGGACCGCCGCGAGCGGCGTGGCGTGGAGCGGTTGAGCATCCCTCCGGGGGCCCCTCTGCGCCGGGGAGGCGTTGTTGGAGGCTAGGACGCAAGCGTCCGTCGCCCTTTTTCAAACTCGGGGCCCACTCCGCTACGCTCCGACCCGAATTTGGAGGGCCTAAAAGTTTAAGGTGTTGCTGCGCAAAAGGGGAAGACGCTCCACGCACAAAAAGTATATGTATCAGTTCTTACGAACGTACTTCCTCTTAGGCGGACCCTCCCGATGCCAGGACGCATGCGGCCAACAACGCTATTCGTGCGGAAGAGCCACTGCAAGCGGACTGTGCCCCCTGAGCCAATGCGGCGGCGAATGGCAAAGCGCATACAAAAGTCGGGGTCGCAGAGAGCGTCGCGCAGCAGTTGAGCATGCTCGTCGGTCGCGTTGTTTAGGACGCCACGCCAATTATCTGCGCGCCCATCTGTTGCCTGGCATCCCCGGCGAATTCGTCGCTCGTGATCAGCTCCGCTGCCGCTCGGAGCAACCAGTGCCGTGTCGAGATGAAGCTCCGCGACGACGCCCGTGGACTGCACGCGCAGGGAGAGGCGCACGAGCTCCCGCACGGCAAGCGACTTCTCGGCATGCGCCGCCTGACGCCTGTCGGCATCCCATTCTTGCAAGCAAGCCATTTCTACCGACCGCGTATTTGGTCGACGGGACGGACGTTTTGGTACGTTTTGGCACCAGCTGAAGGCTTGCCCCCGCAAAAGCCCGTTGCCAACCCCTTTTTTGCCAGAGTATCGCGAATCAATTGGCCTCCGCTCAAGGTGTGAACATATTCGCTGCGGTCAAAATGAACTTGGGGGCACGGACGCGGCACAAACGGGGCACAAACGCCAGGCTACAAACACGGGGAGGCACGTAGTGACGCAAGGGAGTCTAGGCGACGGTGGCGTCCTCCGACGCCGCCGCGAGCTGCAGCGCGACTGACATGCGCTGGCTGGGCTTGCAGCGACAGCCACGCACGACCTACCGCGTCGACCAGCTCGCCTCGTCCTCGTGCTGCCGCTTCGAGAGCTTGTCCTTGTCCTTCATCTGGTAGAACAGCCGCTTGACCGCGTTGCACCACCCGCCGAAGATTTCAAACAGGTCATCTGTTAGATACCGTAGGGTGCCGAACTTAAGGTAAGGTAGCTTGAGTGAGGTTCGGTGCTTTGCACTCAGTAGCAGCAGTTCGGTACCGGGGATTTCTTTTTGGGTACCGGCGACGCCTCGGCCCTCGCTGCGTGGACCGTGGTACGACGAGGGTGCGGCGAGTGAGGAGGAGGAGGAGGGGGAGGAGGAGTAGGGCATCTAGTAGCGTAGGCACTCGTACTCGAGCGTAGGTGCTCGTAGCGTAGGAGGGAGATGCCTCAGAGTGGTGCGGGCCGCGTGACCCGTGTGCCGGTCCGGCTGGACCGAGAGGTGGGTAGCAGGAGTTAGGTACATTAGAACAGGAGTTCGGGAAGAGGAAAAGGGCTCCCTAACTCAAGCTACCTTACCTTAAGTTCGGCACCCTACGGTACGTCCGTGTCCGAGCGCGAGAGGGCGTGCGCGTAGTTAGTCCGCCTTCTTGTACGCCACGTAGCCGCCGCCGTCGCTCGGCCTGAAGTCACCGTCCCCGACAGCGCCGCGCTGCTCGAGGCCGAAGACGTCCGCGCTCGTGCCGGGAGGCTCGGTGTTGCCGAGGCCGATGAAAGCGCCTCGCTGGCCAACGTCCTCCGGGTTTGGAGGAGAGCGGGTCCTTGAACTTGACGTCGCCGACGAGGCGTGAGCGCGAGCGGCCGGCGCCCGCCACCGAGACGTCGGGCCGGTAGTCGTTAGAGACTATTACTGTTGCGGCCTAAAGTCTGTGCAGGTTGTCGGGGACACGATCCCGGCGTGAACACAACTAACTGACGGATCCGCTCCTGACAGTCGCACGCGCCGCGCGCTGCGGCGTGCGACTGTCTTTGTTTGAAGTAAAAAGTCGAATCAGAGCGGTGTCGGCGTTGTCCCCGATTTTGTCCCCCGGACCGCCCGTCCGGCACCGCTCCGGGACGCACGCCGGCGAAGCACCATCAAGCTGCTGTACGGCCCCGGCATCGCCTTCCCAGGCTTAGCTAGACCGAGAGATATTGTGCACATGGTTAGTCTCTACAATATATACACTGACACTGAACCTCCCAGAGCTCGTCCCGGTCCGTCACGGCCATCCTCGGCCTCCGGAGGGCCCCCGGCCGCGGCGCGGTGCGGCGGCGTCACAAATCCGACCACAGAGCACCGGGACGCGGTCGGGCGATCTGAGGCCCGACTAGGCGTATGCATTGCCTATCCAGGGCTATCACCTGGACCTATCAACAGGCGCCTGCGGCGCCGTGGTCAGGAGCTGCTGTTCACACTTGCACAGACTTTGATACGGCACAGTAGAGTAGCCGAGGTCGTCCCGCGGCGCTACTTTTTCTTTCTAAGTTTGTTTTAGCTAACATATTGTTGTTGTAAGAAAGAAAGAAAGAAAACAAACCCAAGGGATGTTGTGAGAGTTGTTGTTGTTGAACATATTTTGTTTGTTGGCAAAGCAAGACGAAGAGCGTGGGAGAGATTTTTTGCGTGTCACAGATCATTTTAGAAACGTGAACAGGGTTGTGTCTTTGCGTGAACGGGCTGGGGGTTTGCTTTGGCGCCGGGTTTCCCACCCTTTTTTGTCGGGGCGGGCGCCTGGCGGCTCCGCTGCTGTGTGCCGGGGCATCGCCCGACCGGCATCAGCGACCCGGTTGATCTGCGAGGAGCGCACATCGAGGCCCCCATGATCATCCTGAGACGAGCGGCGGACGACGCCAATGAGCGGCCGGCTGCTCGTCTTTGCGTGTTAGTCCTCGCTTGCTTCGGCGCAACAGCGCTTGGCCTCCTCGCCGTGCGGCCCGATGAAATGGAAGCCGTCAATCCCAATGCCACCGTCCGCGATGTGCAAGTGGAGAATGCCCTCGCCAGCGCCAGCGCCGGCGACCCGGAGGCCGCCTGGCGCCTGCTGCTGCACCCGCCCGAGTCGTGGAACACTCCACCGCTTCCCGAGGAGTGCGCAGCGCGCCCTGCCGCCCGCGACGTGCAGGCGACCCAATTGGAGCCCTTCAACGAGAGCGCGGCTCGCCGCCTCGCGACGATAAACGCGGCCGCGCTCTGCGGCGTCAGCGGACTGCGCGGGTGGACGTGTGGCCGCTGCGGCGGTCAAGTGCAGAATGTGACGCTGATCACCTCGCGCTGCACGCCCGGCGAACATGGCTGCGACCGGTTCTGGGCGGCCTCGGACGCCGTCAGCGCAGTGGAGGAGGCGAGGCAGCACTGGTACTTTGGCAAGTACTTCCAAAAGGTCACCGCCCCCGGCTGGGTCCCGGGGAAATACTATTCCGAGGCTGTCACTAAGTCGGCGACGCACGGGGACGGGTCTGTCCTCGCCGCGGTGCTCGTCGAGCCGGAGCGGCGGTGGGTGGTGGTCGCGTTTCGCGGCACGCGCGACGCGGACGCGGGCGCGTGGATGATCAACTTCGACTGCAAGCAGGAGGGGCTCGTGGGCGGGGACGCTTGCGTGCACGAGCGGGTCCACCACGGCTGGCACGAGGCGTGGAGGCAGCTGCGGCGGCGCGTGCGCGCGGCGCTCGAGTCGCTTCTCGCGGCGCTGCCCGGCTACCGACTTGTCATCACGGGCCACTCCATCGGCTCCGCCCTCGCAACGCTCATGATCGACGAGTGGCTCGACGACGGAACCCTACCCACGCTCTCCGCTCGCTCGCAGCCGCCGCTGCTCCTCACCTTCGCCGGCCCGCGCGTGGGCAACGCCGCCTTCGCCGACGCGCTCGACGCCGCCCTCGCGCGGCACGGGCTCACCCTCTTTCGCGTGGTCAACCAGTTCGACCTGATCCCCAGAATACCTAACCCGTCGACGCCCGGCGGAGGGGAGTGGCAGCACGCCGGGGTGCAGGTGTGGCTGACGCCGGAGTCGGGCGGCGCGGTGGCCAAGGTGTGCGGGCTCGGAGAGCTCTGCCACGAGGCGGCGCCCTCGTTCCGCCTCAACATGCAGGACCACACCTCCTACTTTGGGGTCTCGTCGGCTGGATCGGGCTGCTGACCAAATCTCCTCTTGCACCAAGGAGGCCGAGCTACTTGGGTTGCGGGATGGGATCTGGCTGGAGAGTCTCCGTCGGCTGCACTCCTGGACCATCGCCGCGGCATCGCGGTTAGTGTTTCACATAGACGATAGAGAACCAGCGACGCTCCCAGCGAGAGAGCCGTACGAGGTACGTGTCGCCTCCAAACACCACAAACCTCACGAACGGCGTGGTATCTACTGTATTTTTGGAGGTTTTCTGCTAAAATATAAGTAGACGGTCCCGTGTCGGCGTGTGCAGATCGCCGGCACGCCGGGTGTGTCCGGAAATGATGTAAACAGAAACGGCTCTGTCCGCTTCGCGGCGCCGGTTGCGCCCGTTCTCCCCCGTTCGGCCGTCGGGCCTCGCTCCGCCGCCGCAGCTTCCGCGCTTCAGTCGACCGCCTGCGCCGCGTCCCAGCCGGCCGGCGTCGCCCCGGCCGCCGCCCCGGCCGCCGCCCCTCCCTCCTCCGACCCCGCCTGCTTGGCGGTGGCCTCTGCGGCAGCCTTCGCCTCGAGTGCGGCCGCGGCAGCCTTCGCCTCGTCCTCGGGCGAAGCGGCGCGCACCACACGCTCGACGTCCATCGGCGCGAGCACGACCCGCTGCTGCGGCCCGTCCAGCCGGACGGCGTAGGCGGCGCGCAGCTTCTTGCCCGGCGGGCAGGCGGGGCCGCGCTCCTCGCCGGGCTGCAAGTCGGCGAGGATGTTTCGCTCGAGGACCTGCGACCAAGGACCAGTTGATCAACGACCAACACATTCACCGTATGCAAAGCGGCGAGGTCTCGCTCGAGGACCGTGCCGGCGAGGAAGCCCTCGGAGCCGCAGTTGGCGGCGACGCGGTCGCCCGGCTTGAAGCGGTAAGGCCTCCACAGCGCGAGGTCGGCGCCGGCGGGCGGGCCGGCGTCGTCGTCTGGCGCCGAGCGGATGAGCCCATCGTGGTCCTGCGGCGGCGGCGGCGGCGGCGGTGGTGGCGGTGGCGGCGGCGGTGGTGGCGGCTGTGTGACGTGGGAGTTAGTACGGTGCGCGGTTGGGAGCGGGAGAGTGGGAGCCGGCCTGCGGCGCGTTGACGCGGCCAGCCTCGTCGAGAGCAACCTTGTACGGCAGCTCGTACGAGGAGAGGACGGTGCCGCACGACCACTTGACGCTGCCGGAGGGATCGCGGCCGACGTTGCACTGCACGCGCGCCCCCGGCTCGAAGCGCAGCCGGCCTGCCGGTGGGACGCGCTCGTCGTCCGGCTCGTGCCCGTCTGCCAGCATCCTCTCCCGCGCCCGCAAGAGGGCGCGGTGCGCGTCGGTGAAGACGGACTCGCCCCAGCCTCCGGGCCAGCCGGGCCGCAGCCAGCTCGCCTGCTCCGCCACCGAGAGCCGCTCCTCACGGAACGCCTCGAACTCCTCCTCCACGCCCGCCCACTCGCCGTCCGACAGCCGGTTCGTGCGCCGCATGCGGAAGAGCCGCTCCTGCGGCGAGAGGCGCGGCGGACGGGTGGGGTGGCGAGCCGGGTGAAGAGCTCGCGCGGGGGCGCAGCGCGCCATCTCGCGCGTCGCCTTCCAGATGGCGAGCAGAGACGCGCACGCGCGCTGCATCAGCAGGTTGACGGCGAGCTGGTGCGCCTCGGACACCTCGGGCGAGCCGCGCTTCATGCCCTTGAGCTTCTCCGCCGCCGCCTCGTACGCCTCGATGTCCGCCGTCGGAAGCTCCACCCCAAGCCCGCGCGCCATCCACTCGTCCGGGTCATGCGCCTCGGGCTCGGGCGGCAGGCCGAACGGGCTCGCCGAGAGCACCTCTTTGCGCGCAAACGGTCCGAGGCCCGCGCGGTGGAGGTAGACGGCCACCGCCGCGAGCAGGCACACCAGGGTGGCGCCGATGGCGAGGTAGTCCACGGCCATGCGCAGGGTATTCTTTTCCGGATTCCTCGCGCGCGCGCGCGAGGCCGTGTCGCGCTTGAGGAGAGTGCGCAGGCAGCGCCAATTCTGATTATTTGTTTCTTTATTTTTGCTCTCGGAAACGCACAACCCCGGGCCCGAAATCGCACAGATCACGCAACACGGCGTCCCACGGAGTGCCATTATTTTTGCTCACGCTGACATGAAGCGCACGCGCGACGGCGAGTCCGAGCCCGCCGCCGCCGAGGACGGCAGTCCCGGGCCTTCGGACTCGGGCGGCGCGCCTGCCGGCGGCTCGGGCGCCTCACGCGTCGGCGCGACGGTGCGCGGCGCGCTCGCACGCCTTCCGTCGGCAGAGATGTACGAGCGCTCGTACATGCACCGCGACTGGGTGACGCACGTGCTGGTGACGCGCACCGACTTCGTCGCCACCGCGAGCCGCGACGGCCAGCTCAAGTTTTGGAAAAAGATGCCGCGCGGCATCGAGTTTGTCAAGCACTTTCGGGCGCACATGAAGCCGTTCGCGGGCCTGGCCGCGTCGCCCGACGGGTCGCTGCTCGCCTCCACCTCGGCCGATCGCGGGCTCAAGGTCTTCGACGTGCTCGCCTTCGACATGATCGCCTGGATCAAGCTCGACTTCACGCCCGGTGTCTGCGAGTGGGTCGGCGGCGCGGGAGCCGGCGCACACGCGAACGCGAGCAGCCGGACACTGCTCGCGGTGGCGGACGCGGACTCGCCCGAGGTGCGCCTGCTCGACGCCGCCTCGGGCGAGGGCACGCCTCTCCACACCGTCCGCGTCCACTCCGCCCCCGTGCTGCTGCTCCGCTTCAGCCCGGCGTTTGGCGCCGTCGTCTCGGCAGACGCGCGCGGCGTCCTCGAGTACTGGTCGGCGACGGAGCCGTTCGGGCTGCCCGCCGGTGTGCGGTTCCAGTTCAAGACCGAGACCGACCTCTACGCCGTCGCAAAGGCCCGCGCGCGCCCTCTCGCGCTCGCCGTCTCGCCAGACGGCAACCGGCTGCTAGACACTTCCTAGACACTTCCTAGACACTTCCTAGACAGACACTTCCTAGACACGTCCTAGACACTTCCCTCTCGCTCGCCGTCTCGCCAGACGGCAACCGGCTGTCTGCTGCCGGCGAGCTGCAGCCTCATGTGCCACTGCGCGACGAGTGAGCCGGCGCGTGGCGGCCGCTCGAGCGGTCGAGTGGAGACGTCGAGGCTGTCCTGCGTCGCCGCTGGCAAACATAGTACACGGCGGTGTCGGCCTCGGAGGGCAGCTGGACAGCGCTCAGCGCGGGAGACGGCGCACAGCGGTCTCGACGCGCGCGCGCGAGCCGCGTGCGAGAGCTGTGCGGACGGCTCTAGGCTGCGTGCACCGGCCTCGTGCACGAGCTGCGCACCCGCCGACCGACCCGCGGCGACCGGCCAGCCCGGCGGAGCAGGAGCCGCTGAGGAGCCGGCGAGGTGCGGAGAGTCGAGAGAGCGTGAACTCGCCTCGAGTCGGCTGTTCAGCTGCCCTTTACTGTTCAGTGCGTTTTTTTCCAAACAGAACCTAATAAGGGTGTCGCGCGTAGGCCCGTACGCCAGCGCGAGGAGCGACACCCCTGCTAGCACCCCTGCCTGCGACTGTAGTCTGTACCCCCGTGCAGCTTGCACCCCCCTGTGTCCCCCCCCCCGCCCCGCCCTCTGGGGGCGCCGCCTTTCGGACAACATGCGAGCCCTCCCCCGCCGCCCTGCCACCGTACGTATTCGCGCAGACCCTCCCCTCCCTCCCCCCACCCCCTACCGCTACCGCCTTGCCCGACCCACACCGCATTGCGGAAAGCCGTCCCTTGGTCGCCCGTTGGGGCTGGCAGCCCCCTCAGCAGAAGGTGTTGCAGCAGAAGGCTTCATACGGCAGCAGTGCGAGGGTGCAGCAGAAGCAGCACGCGAAGGTGCAGCAAAACACAACCATGCACAGCGCGATGCCGAGGAAGAGGTACGTCGCAAAGACGGCCGGCGCTAGCGTCGCCACATACTCCTGGAAGCGCTGCACCTCCGGGTCGCCGCCGCCGCCGCCGCCGCCGGCCATGCTGCCCATCAGGCCGGCGGCCGTCCCGCCCGCGGTGGTCATACCCTCCATGGGGCCCATGCCCGACAGCCCGTCAAAGAGCCGCCGCGCCCGCGAGCCGAAGTACGCGAGCGGGTCCGCGCCTTGTGGCAGAGCCTCGGGCTCGTCGAGCTCGGCGAGGGGGGCGCGATCGGCCACCGGGACCGCGCTGCCCGCCGCGAGGCAGGCGAGGGCGCCCAGCAGGAGGGCGGCGCGCATTTTGAGGCGTCCGGCCTTAGGTCGGGGCGAAGAGCACCGAGGGGTTTGCGGGTTTGGGGCCCGCCGCATTTGGGTTTCTTTTTTTATTTACGGGAAGCTCCCTCGGAACTTTGCCGTTCCTCTTCACACGCCGCGAGCCGACTCAGCACTTCCTCGTCTGACGGTTCCGCTCCTTGCGCGCGAGCATTGTGCTGTCTGCTTTTTTTGCCCAGCCGCTTCCACACCTGCGAGAGAGAGAGATTTTTAGCAGAGGTTACAGGCGGGGTAAGATCCGTTAGCGGGACAATACCAAACAACTCTAACACTCACACGTCATTTGGGGCCCCTGCAGACTGTAGTTTATGGTGGTTTAGAGTTTGCGGGGGGAGGGACAGATTTGGCTGAGGGAGGGTGTAGAGGATGTAGAGTGTAGAGCGCTGTAGAGCTGTAGAGATGTAGAGCGCTCTGGAGCGCTGTAGAGCTGTAGAGCTCTACATCCGCCGCGGGACGAGGCGGGTGCGTTGTAGAGCGATGTAGAGCGCGATTTTGTTGTAGAGTTTGTTGTAGAGGCTCTACACACTACAGCCAAACCGCCGGGATGGCAGTGACTCAAAGAGGTCGAGTCGCACTAATGGGGTGTCTCCGAGCTTACTGGAGCTCTGATGGACGGCCCTGACTATCCCTGAAACACAGAGAGTCACTCTGACGGCACACAACACCCTATAACTGCGTCATGACCAGCCTGCCATGCGTCGCCGGTGCCGCATTCGTCGCTGTGCTTCTTTAGCAGGCGGTGGACTGTCGGCTGCGAGGACGGTCGCATTTGCGCAAGGCGAGGCGAGCATTCAGACGCGTTGCATGCGCCATGACTCGCGCCAGCGCGTGCGGGAGCTCCTGGCTGAGCGTTGAGTCCAGGCGAGTTGCGCTGGCCACGATCGCTACGCCGAGCCGAGCTGACGCGCCGAGGCGCCGGCCAGTCGCAGCCGTGAGGCATGCCACAGCAGCAGAGGCACCTGCCACCCATTGGGCGGGCAGGCAGAAGGCCAGGGCAGCACTGGCAAATGCAACGCGCCTCATGTCGGAGAGCGACCGTGCCTCGTTCGCAGCTTATGATGTACGTACTTATAGCTTACTGGGAGAAAAGAGAGAGGGGGTTGTGTTCTCTAGGCCCCTAAGGGCCCTACGCGCGGCGTGAGAGCTCGGAAGCGAGCTTTGCACGGCGATCGAGGATGGCACGGTTTACCCCCTTCACCGAAGCGATGGAGATGCGTTCCGCGTGGTGTCTCTCTATGATGTAGAGTTTGTTGTAGAGATTTCACGTTGTAGAGCGCCTCTACATCGCTCTACAACGCACCCGCCTCGTCCCGCGGCGGATGTAGAGCTCTAGAGCTCTACAAGAGCTCTACAGCGCTCTCCATCTCTACAGCTCTACAGCGCTCTACACTCTACATCCTCTACACCCTCCCTCAGACTCGAGAGAGCGTGCGTGTGCCTCTACTCGCCAGGGCAGCCTTCACAGCCTTGTTATGAGAAGAAAATTCATACGTCGCTCGAGCCGACTGGGCGACTCCAAAATGCCGGTATACGTCGTCACTGGCTGCAGCGGCGGCCTCGGCCTCGGCCTGGTCAAGGCGCTGGCGGCACGCGGCGACAAGGTGTACGCGACCGTGCGCAAGCGTGCGACGACCGCGACCGGTGAGGACCAAATCAGCAATGTCCAAGGCGACATCACTGTCATCGAGGACATCGACGTGGCGAAAGACGACGTGGGAGCCAAGCTCTCGGCCGCTCTCGCCGGCGTCAAGATCGACGTGGTGATCCACAACGCTGGCGGCATCGCGAATCGAGACGGGCCAGACGCTCCAACGGGCGCCGCAGCCTTTGCCGATGGCGGCGGCGGGCCGATGGGTGCGAAGCCCGACAACCTGAAGGCGGTCACGACCGAGCGGTGAAGCTACCCTGCCTTTTCGCGCGAGCGTGGCCTGTCTTTGCGCTTGATTCTGCTTCCCGCGCGTCGCAGGATGCTGGCGTCCTTTCAGGTAAATACGCTGGGCCCGTTGCGCGTGCAGAAGGCGCTCACCGAGCAGATGGGCGCTGGAGGCAAGGTGCGTCGACCTCACACACACACACACACACACACACACACACACACACACACACACACACACACACACACACACACACACACACACACACACACACACACACACACACACACACACACACAGACACACGCACACGCACACACACACACACACACACACACACACACACACACACACACACACACACACACACACACACACACACACACGCACACACACACACAGACACACGCACACGCACACACACACACACACACACATGCACACACATACACATGCGCCCACTGGTGGGTCTAGGTGAGGTGTCTTGCCGGGGACAATGTCTTGGATAGAATTCCGCACGCACCCTCAGGCAAGAGCTGCCTTTCGTGGCGCAGGTCCTGATCATCAGCACCGGGATGGGCTCGATCGGCGACAACAACTCGGGCGGGCTGTACGCTTACCGCACCGCCAAGGCTATCGGCAGTGGCGGTGGTGCCAGGATGGCCGCCGTGGAGGGCACGGCATGCGGTGTGAACAGGCCGGCGTCAACATGGTGATGCGCAACATGGCTCTCGACCTCAAGACGAGCGAGATCGCCGTCATGTCGGTCAACCCGGGTGCTCGCAAGACGGCGGTGCCTGCTCCCTCGGCGAACAGACGCCCGTGACGCGTCCGCGACTCTTCTCGCACAGGCATGGTGCTCACCGACTTTGGGCCTGGCGCGGAGATGATGGCCAAGTTTGGGAGCATGCCGGTGGAGGAGTCGGTGGCGCAGCTGCTCGCGATCTGCGACGACGTGTGCACGATGGAAAACACGGGCAAGTTCTGGACGGTGAAGCGGGGCGCCGCGCCGATGGAGTTTGCGGGAGGCTTCTAGCGGGAGCAGTGCGCGGGCCGCGGCACGCCGCACACGGGGGCCGAGGCGCCGTCCCTCGGTGTGCCGTGTGGTACGTTCGAGATGGTCTTACTAGATACTACGCGCGTCGCTAAGACACAAAGCGCACCCGGCCACCGCTCTCACGCCGGCGCGCGGCGGGGGGGGGGGGGGGGGGGTTCACAACCTTCACCGCGCGGGGGGTAGTTCCGATTCTCTCTCTGAC